ACAGATTCCGGATAAAGTGGACTCGGCCCATCTGGCGCTATTCCAACTAATACAGAATATTATTCTCAGCAGATAATTTCCATTTTCAGGTTGTTAGCTGGAATGGGTTTGCGCAAACAAACCAATTACTTCGAATTTCTCTCCAGTTAGCATCGTTTACTCGATGATTAGATTCAAATTCTTCATCACGCTACTGACTTAAAAATTGAGTAGTCAAGTTGAAGAGTTAAATAAACCAGAAATGGTGAGCAGGGATATTTTTCCTAATCCTGGCTTGGAGACAAGAACTCGACAACAGAGATGCCAACAATCCAGGGCCATTCTGCTAAATCTAATCCAACAAAGGAGAGTAAAATATAAAAAACAAACAAACAGGAAATGGTGCAACATCCAAGGATTACCGCATCAGGTCAGTATACCGTAGGATACTGTTTCATGATGAAACGTTGTTATATACAGAGCGAAAGAAACGTGAACTGTGAAACTGGGGTACACTGTATACAGGTTTTGTGCGACGTACAAATTTAGTGTGAACAGAAAATACCCTTGGGTGTTAACGGCAGAATAATCCCGAGCTAACTGGTAAACGACGGGATACTTTCATCACAAATGAACATACACAACGTGAAAGAGCGATTTAGTGCTGATCACACTCGGTGTTCGAGATAAATGCATACCGGTGAGGATCAAATGGGAGCTCTCAAATTGGGACACTGGGTATATATGATTGAAACAATCTTTCCGATTCATACATAACACTGTAAAACTTGTTTTCTTGCCGAACGCTGCAACCGTTTGCGGAACAGCACCACTGGGTTTTCAGATCAAGTCTCCCACATAACGTAGCTGACGAATTAGTATGAATAGCATAATAACAATAAAGTATTTATTCTGGCGAGTAAATATCACGCAAAGTACTTTAGTTAAAATAATAATTGCTGTTAGTTGATAAATTCAGTGAAGATGTAAGACATGAGATTGTTTGAAGACCTATAAACAGGGACGGTTACTGAAAGCCCTCGAGGTGCAGTTTAACATGTTAGTAGAAGTTGATGTTAGAACACCGGAGAGAACGCCGGTTTTGAATAGCGCAAAGTTGGAGACAAGTATCCTGAACGGGAGAACGGTATAGATAAACCAACTGTGGCTAAGAGGACATGGTCAGTGAGGATTCAAAGGTGACAGAAATTGATAAATCAGTAAACTATGCCGACACATGATTGTCTGACGGTAACCCCCTCAAGAAGTATGAGTTTGATGTAAAGTGGCATCTTTCAGAACCCACTAGAAGCGCAACCAGCGTAGTGAAGAGAGCTGCAAATGATTCTGGGAGTTATTATTACTTGCAACTGACAACAGTGTGTTTAAACTGTGGAAAAATGGTAGAGAAGTCACTTTTGCGACTGGTCCCTTGCGTGTAAAGTGAACAATTAGAGATTCTTCGACGGTACTGAGCAATCAGTGAACAATTCAGTGATTTGACATATATATATAGTTTCACACGCGTCTGAGTTCATACTGCGTGCCAAAATATCGCGGTACAATAATCCTTATACAAAGAAAAAAATTTCCACCATTTGCATGTGGGCCGGATACCGCTAGGTTGCCCATGCCAAGGCAAGTCAATTTTTTTGGGTCATCCACAAACGGAGCCTTCGGTTAACCAAAGCCTGACCCGCAAGGCAGCGGGCAGGTGTGAAAATTGCAATCCATTGGGAGCCGGTATCCGGTCCAGCGGATCATACACCTTTTGGACGGAGTCAAATGTCCAAGGTACCCAATACACCTCAATGCCCAATCGATCCGGTGACCGTTGCCACAACCGGAAAGGTGTTAGTCTGGTTCGTACGCCCCCTCATGGTTGTTTTGTAATCAAGATTTTCAGCCAACTCCCCGAGGTGAACTGCAAGTTGTCCACCAACCCGGTTATAACCCGGACTGTCGGCTTTTCGTCCTCTCTCGTTGGTGAGAAAACACCTCCACCAGGAGAAGTCAGTGAGTAGGACTTCCTCAGTGTAGGCTATTTGATACGCTTGGTCGTTTGGGAACATTTTGCGAGGTGCAAGGGTAGGGTGACCAGCCGTAACCCTAGGCACCCACCCCTGACCATACTGAGGCTTTCGGAGGCAAATGCATGTGTAAATACTTTCAAATAAATTGTTGCGGTTTGAATGTTTTTACGTCAAGTAAAAGCGAAAATAAGGTACAGGAGTCATACTGTCACAGAGGCTATAGTTTAACGTTAGCGGTCGGTTTGGTCGAAATGTTGGGACTATGATGAATCGTTCACCCCGAGACTACACTTCTGCACTGACGCACACTTGTGTGTGTGCGTATTTTCTCTCCGATATGGATCTCACTTCTTGGAAGATTTTTATCCTCTCCCAGTTGATTTGATGCATCTTGGTTGTAACGGAATTATTGTGTAACTAGCACCAAGGAGCACTGGGTAGTTGTAGTTGTTGTTGCTGCTGCTGGTGGGACACATTAGCAGCGCGCATGTGTTAATTTTCGAATGCATAGCAAAAGGCCTCGCTTTGCGCTCATTGGCAGACTGGTAAAACTATACATTTTATTATCTAGTATACGTTAATTTACAAAACCTGAGGTCTAATCAGGGCTCTGTTTATGGCTGCAAGTCTTAAAGAAGTTTACCCCAAATATTGTGGAAGTATTCACATAAAGACAGAGTAACCCCATAAGCAAATTCACATTAAGCCAAACAATTGGAGCTCCATAAATAGATTCTTTAGTCGTAGATAGATTGTATAAAATGGATTATTTTAATTCCGAAACTATGGTGATATCATTATCCAATTCAGACCTATACATGCCTCAAACATTATAACTGGTTGTTTTATGCTTTCATTTCAGATTTCTAGAATGTCTGGAGAATGCGGGAACATATGCCGCAAATCGAGTGGGTAACATCTATTTCAATTTGTTCAAAATCCCTTGTTTCCGTCGGGTGAATCGAACTGTGTGCGCCGAGAAATCCGATCGCACTGGGGAATGTATTCGTCGTGTGACACGCAGTACCATTGAACTGTATCAGTCCCAGACGTACACATCTGTCTACGAGCTCTGAGTGGCGATCTGCCCGACAGCAAGAGGGAGACGCTTGCACCCGCGGGGGTTCTACTCGTTCAACGTGGAATTGAACTGTTTTCATCACGTTCTTACGTTGTACTCCCATGTCAAAGCATTTCCACACGTTCAAACTATAGTGGGACTAATCCACAACCGTGACACGTTCTGTCTGTGTCTGCTGGTTGCCCTGCTTGAACGAGAGCAACAACAACAACAACAACAACAACAACACGGACAGAAGTTGTATTTGAATTCAATTCAAACAAAGCTGGTGTTTTGCTTTTGTACCTCATGCATGTGCTTTAAGCAACTCGCTGATAGTTAAGCGCATGGGATGGGGGGGGGGGGGGGGCG